CTACTTTTACTACTTCTACTACTACTTCTGCGTTTCGTGTCCGCGTCATTGCTGCTTCATTGCCGCCTCATTTCCATTTCTCCCGCCTCCTACTTAGTTTCACCTCGAAAAAAAATCACCGTTTGTCACCCAGACGCCTTCTCAGCGACTGAAACCCATCAATAATGCTGTTGAGGGGGAAAAAAAGAACTCATGCTCATGTGCGACACCTGATCTTGCACTCCCGCAAGCCAAACCACAGGCCACCCCTCACTCACCCATCCTGGGCGATGATGCATCCATCGCCGTCCTCGAAAATGGAAATGATCTTGGACGTTTGCTCCTGCAACAGCAATCTTGCTCACGAACACCTGTATCCTTCACTTAAAGCTTAAAGCGCCACCGCTTTCTACAAATGAAAATGTGGCTCAGGAGTGGTCGCCATCACTTTCAAAGCCCTACGTACGTACGAGCCAAAACGACTCCAATCGACGAGCAAGGCATCACAATGGAAGCGGTACCTGGACTGCACGTGCTAATTTCAGTCTCTGGTGACAAGACGTTGCTGGAGTGACAACTCAAGCCCCAACCTGTAGTCCACCACCATCCACCGCCTTCCACCTCTGCCAAAGCCAGTGGCATCGGGCATCTTTTGTTACCCCTCATAGTGCAGGTGCACCCTTAACCACCTGCAAAGCCGCTGCCCCTGTTCATCTTACACCTCTGCCCGCGGGAGACTAACGGAAGAGGTGCCACATGCAAAGTCGATCAGCCAAAACATTAAGTTCAAATCAATCAAGTAGCTTGTAGGCACCAAAATGTGCACGCTGCGGCATCGCCCGACAACATCCAGCCAAAATACATGACGCACGGAAACTGAAAGCTGCTTGTTGTGACCACTTAACGTTTGATAGTACATGCACATGTGTGTTTGATGAACATAGCTGGTTGAAGGTTTGAACGCCCTGCACCTACGGGTATGCAAGCAAATGAAACCAACATCTTACCACGTCTACAACATGGAAACCGTGCAAAATAGGCCCTAAACCCAAAACCCTAAACAACCCTAAACCCTAAACCCTAAACCGTGGACGGTGAAGTCCCCTGACTTTCTGCACACTGTTGCCAATTCCCATCCTTTTGGTTTGTTGGGCACTGTCCTTCCCCCCTTTGTTTTTAGGCGGTGGCACGCCAATTGGGCCAAGCTCATGCCATCTTTGCATCTGTGCCGACGATACCTTCTGGGTCTCAAGTGACTGCAACTTTCCTAGGCTACCTGTTCCTTGTCTACAACATGGTATCTAACTACAGCGTTTACGACGCTTCATCATGCTCACAACACAATCCAATCCACAGCCTTGTTGAATGGCGCGACTGCATCCAGCTGGTCCCGTCTTCGGGCCTTGAGGGGCCCCTCAAGGTCTCGCACGTCGCCGGCTCAGGCTTTGCAGGCACCTCCAGACCCAAACACACAAGCCATTAGCGAAAACCCGTGTTTGGGGCGCACAGCGCATCTCAGCACTTAGACTTCACCGTAGCTCGGCCATGCTCGCAGTCATGGAGCGCCACACCATCGAGTAAATCAGCGTGACCTGTGCGTCGTTGAAGTTGTTGGGGACACCCAATAGGAGGACCCTCTCATCGAGGATGCGATCGCGATGATGATAGATCGGCAAGTCGAGGAACAAGCCGAAGGGTTCAGCACCTGGTCGAAGTAGAAGATCCCATCGTAAGTAATTTCCCAAGGAGCGTCGGGGGCAAAGGCAGCATACGCGTGGTTTCCCGGTGGTAGCATCGAGACATTGTTGCCCCCGATTCCTATGAGTGGTGAGCCCCATCGACATCACAGGATAGCCATCTAATCGGCGTGTAGTGACGAAGCCGCAGTGTGGCAATGCCGCAGACGCGGTTCTCGCCGTACTTCTGCCAGAGCAGTCGGGCCTTTGTTCGCGATGTTATCGGAGGGCCATGCCAACCGGAAGCCGTCGATGTCGTACGGCGCCGGCAGGGGCCGGGATTGTCGTTGTAGGCATCGGTGACGGCCGAGAACTGATCGTCGGGGGTATCGACGATGTAGTCGAAGCAGCAGCATGCGGGGCCATCATTACTCGAGGAGAAACTGCAACCCTACGGTGGGTTCCATCGGGACTTAAGAAAACTTCACGTGAGACAGTCACTGTGAACGAAGGAGTCGCCGTAGGGTCGAGGTTGAGCATAATCGGCGCCTTGGGCATGGCCTTGACTTTAACCACTGCGCTCGAGGTCGCTCTCGAAGGAGGCGGTGTAGCAGGTCGGGAAGTCTCTGGGGATGTTCTTGTTGAGCAATTCGTCGCTTCCCAGGGATCGTCGGTGTAATCCCGAGTCTGTCGAGATTGTTGTACCTCGTCGTCGACCGCATTCCAAAGGTCTTCATCCTCTGGAACTCGGGGGTTTGTCGGCGGCGGTGTGACCATCGGCGTGGTCTCTTCGACCTCGACGACGGTCGTCGTCGGGGTTTCAACCACCGTTGCCCACTCGCGGTGGCTTGATCGGTGCGACCCCTGTCCTCTGCATTGCCGGGGCGGAAAGAGGAGCGAGGCCTTGCCCTCGAAGAACCTTGTCGGGGTAGCAGTCGTGGGCCTAGCTGGCGTGGGAGTCGCTTGTCTCGCCGGTGGGAAGGATGACTTTGTCGGAGTCTGGGACCGCCGATTCGTCCAAGAACAACCAGGGCGAGCTCGGCGAGGAGATGTTCCACGACCCCGACCTGTCGGTGAAGCATGTCGGGGTCCCGTCTGGCGTCCTCATCGGCCCAGATCTGTTGAGCCAAATCAGATCGGGCAAAACTCGGGTAGTCATAGTAGGTTGTCCAGTTTGTTCCGAAGTGCCACTTCCGGATCGTGTTCAACCGGAACTGCGCCAGACTGGTCGAGATCATCCTCGCGGCTTCTTCGCGATTGATCTGTCGAATTGTACCGCCGTTTTGAGGCTCGTAGAGGAAAGGTGAACCTTCTCGTCGGGGACTCGTCTGCGTTTGTACAGACAATCGCATTGCACTGTCGAAGGTATCACCATGCTGATGCCAACAGCGATCGCCGAAACCACAAACTCCCTGAAACCACTGATGGCAAATCAGATCGGGGACTGCCCAACGTTCGGCGATAAAGTCCGGGTGTAAGTTCGGACAGTTAGCAGGCCTGTCACACTTGTTGGACTCGAGGATCCTCGGGCAGATGATTCGAGGATGCATTTCGGAGACCCGAAAGATTCTCGTATCCCTCACCTCCTCGGGGAACTGCTGCAACATACTCGCTGGTACCTCGGTGCCTGAAGGGAGAGTAGATGTCGATCCCTCGCACAAGAAGGCAAACCACGAGTTGGATCGACGTGTCGCCATGTCGACTCTCGTCGATATTCGAAATAGAAAAGCAGTACCCCCGGGAGAGAAGAAAAGTTTTGAGAATCTAAAACCACATGGCAACGGATCGATACGTACAGATCGCATTCATTCGGATTCTGCATATCCACAATCAATCCGATGTGCGTCCGATGGAAGCACGAAGTTGTCGTTTCGCACACACGTGTGCTACGCGACAAATTGCCAAAATGCCTTTTTCAACATTTAGGTTTCAAGGGTTTAGGGGTTCAGGCTTTAGGACCCAAGTTCAAAGTAGTTTCCGTGGTTTGGGGTTTAAGGCCTAGGGTTGTTTCGCCATGTCGGTGTTCTGCAGACACATGTTCCTGTCAGCCATATACTACAGAAAGTCTACCTCCAGGGAAAAAGTACTAAAGTTTTCACACCAAAGGCTAGTTACACCTATCAATGCTTATTTTCAACTACCAGTGATTGCTGCATTCGTATCACAACTGTCCCCAAACTGCATGCCGGCCTGTTGAAAAGTTAACACAGTGGACCTCCGCATGACTGCATACTGTACCTCGTACGGGTCGCCAGCTTTGCCTTTTGAGCGCCCGCTCCAGTTCGTTTGCATGGCAGACGGCGCCGCAGCACAAGGAATGGTGCAGAATTGGGCAAGCAGCGATGAGCTGCAGAGCAAACCATGCGATCCGAGACTTAAATTCCTCTGCAAAACTACCGTTCGGCCTCCAGGCGCCATCTCCATGGCCAGTTTTGGCCAAGGTCAACGGCTGACCAGCAATGCTAAGGCATCAGTGGAGGCTCGCAGCGGGATCGAGCTCTTTGCCCCGGAAACGCAGCAAATTCTCATGCGTGCAACCTCTTAGCTCCACCGCTCCACCACACCCTGGGGCGGCGCTGTTGGGCTGCATTTCATCGAGCAAAGGCCTCACGAGTGCGCAAGCCCAGAGTTTGGCGGCAGCAGCAGCAGCAGGCGGCCCGGGAAACAAAACACAATGCATCCCTCGCCCTTCCAACACAGCACCATACGCAGCTTCACCTTGGACGCACATAGGAGGTGCCTAAGCAGTGCAATCCTGCGCCCGGACCAACCACGCCTTCAATGGCACTTGCTCGCCAAATGCATGTGCAGTCCCAAACCATGACTCATCCAACGTCATGATGCACGCAATCTACGCATGTCGTTGAAAGATGTTGAAAGTGCCCACGAAACTTGAGATGCTGTTGGTCATTCCTGGCTGCTCTAAACCGAAATCAACATCCGGGCCTCCAACCGCTCGAAGAACTTGTCATCTCTCAGCTGCAAGCTTTCCTGATTGCCAAGTTCCGAGATGCTATAAATCACTTCTGCCTGGTCCCTCGGAACACTAAGTCCACATTGGCCGCGTGCAAGCCTAAGCAAGCCTAAGCATTCACCGGCAGTTTGCATGCCGGACTGAAGCGGGATCTGGCCAGGCGACAATGAAGGGGGCATTGGCAGTCGGAACCTTCTCCTCATCAAAAGACTTGAAGAAGCGCAGTTCAATCTGTGTTTCAATGCGCATACATGTGCATACAGCTTGTAGGTTGTCCCTGTACATGATCGGACAGGCAGCACGCAGAGCCTTACGCAGTCTCGTGATATCAAGTACTCTATACTGGCACGTAATCTTGTATCGCAGCATGTGAAGACGACATGGAGCAGCGATGGTGTATGGTGTGTAGACCTGTAAAATGGAGCGTCAATCACAGTCAATCCTTGCATGTCACAGTGTGGCAGAATACATCATGACGTGTTGTAGCCGATAGTAGCACATAGTAACTTAGTATATAGACACCTGCAACAGTAGCAGAAACACTGAGCGATACTGAATGCCTTAAGGCTTACAGACTTGTGAACCCAAATGGCAGTACTGAAACTGATGGAACACAACAGCACCAAGCAGTGTGTACTTTCTTCCAGAAGCTATGAAGGCGAAGAGGTAGCAAGTCAGTTCGGCATTGGTTTGTCACAGTATACCGCAGTGCCATACCACATCAGAACGAAGCTGTTCCGTGATAGTGCCTGCTCAACCGAACGGGAATGCTGCGCGACATACCAAGCTTCGCGGAAATAGCTGATATGCAACCATAGAGCAGTGGTTGCTCGTACTTGAAGGGGAGTCCGCAGCTCTCTCGCATTCTTCCCGCCGCTTTTATCGTATTGTTCGAGAAACCCCGGTCCTGAGCTTGCCCCCAGGCCCCGGCCCACCCTCGTTACTCCCCCATGTTCCTTATAGCCGGAGACAGCAAAAATACAGGAGGAACGAAGGTGGGCCGGGGCGGGGCCGAGTCTATTGTGATTGTGCTTTGCTTGTCTTATACTAGACGACTTTCCACGCAAACCTAACCCTCAACCGGTCAAAAGAACGACTCTCGAAGGGACCGTCTGATCAAGGCGGCACGGGGTGGTATGGGTCATTTATCTTCGAAGATTTCCTTCGAGGATTCCCACATAGGAGCCCGCCCTCTCAGCCCTCATATTAGCGCAGCAAAGAAAGCGCGTCTCGGACCCGGTCCCCCGGGGGCGCCTCTTCGAGGGCAGCCGGCAGCTGCCAGCGTGGAGCTCTCGCGAGAGAGGGGGGCGACTCGTGCACAGGCATGGCACTCCGCCATGTCCGCCAAGGCTAAATAAACCCTTCAAGCGGATGTGGTTTTTGGGTGCAGGATGCCAAAAATACCACAAGTATCGTGTAGAACGATGGAAGCAGAAGAGATTCGGGATTGCGTGTTGTGTGTTGTCTCCGGAGACCGGGCCAGTTCGTTGACCAACCCTTCTTGCCAGACCGGCCAGACCCAAGACCAGCTCAGCTGGCATAATTGGCCAAGTCGGCTGTCGGCGGGAAGCCAGGTTCAATGGCCAGCTGAGCAGGAACTAGGTTTCCTCGAGGTGCGGACATCCTGCACTGGCGCACTTCTGCCAAGCAACAACGGGCTTGGTGTACTGCGGCAACTTGATCGCCACGTCTTGCGAGTGAAACAAAATGTGAAACAGGAATTCTCGCTGCGCCATTCACTTTGAACCGCCTCGCTAGCCGCTAGCACAGCTTTGATCATGCTGCAGGCCACCCTCCCTTCTGACAACACGCATGCTGATTCCCAAGCCTCAGCGGCTATCCGCCAACATTTTGGACGGAGGCGCAAGTCCCGGCATGAGCTTCGCCGCTTTCCTGCCGTGTTTTGAATCCCGTCAATACAGGAGCTACCCTTACACTGACTGCAGGCGGTCCCGGTGCCGGCCAAACGCAGTACAGGAGTCAGGAAGCCGACAGCCTGCACCAAAAGGGGCCCAAAGGAAAAGACATTCCTGGGAGGCCCGAAACAACCACGAGGCAAGCCCTGGATGCGCTTGTTGGTTGGGCCTCCGATGGAGGCGCGTGAGAAAAGTGATGCGTTGCCGCAATCTCGCCATTCACCTGGCGGCAGAGCCCAGAGCCGGAGTCGGAGGCCCAACAAGCAAGTTTTCAAGAAAGGCTTAATACAGCTCAGAAGAGTCGGCAGCGGCACGGCCACTCTGATCAGCGCGCCACCCTCACGATTGCACCTGGCTCTGCAAAGTATCAGAAGGACAGAGGATGTGAGGCTTCAGCAAACCACCTTCCGTCCTTCCAAACCTTTTTGGCTTGCGCGGAGGCCGAGCTTCGGCCCGACGGCAGGGTGAGACCAGGAAGTCTAAGTATGAAAAGTCGCTCAAACTGCTCAAAGCAGCGGGGGCGTCTGTGGTGGGGGCGTCTCTCCAACCTGGAGCTCCGCGGTCGTCAGCACAGAGTGGACCACCTGCACTATGCAGATCGAACACGTTCAGGAAGGCTGACTTGAGAAGACTTGATCTAATCCCGAACATCGCCTCTCGTGCTATGTCGGCAGCGACTTCTGCCACCCGCTCTGCATGGAGGGCCAGAGACAAGAACACAGGCGAACCGGGACGTTGCTGGCCACCACCGCTCACTGCAGGTGACGTCGCTGGCCGCGCCCGCTCGGCGATCTCTTCGGCCCGTTGACGGAGCAGTGGCGTCACTGAAACAGAGGCTTGCTCAATCACCTCCTCGGCAGTGTTGGCAGAGAGCTGGAGTAGCACCTCGTTGCGCAGCCAGAGCTCGAGATCCGCCATTCTGTGGTGCAATCCTTGCACGTCCTTTCAGGTACAGTGCAATCACTGTACAAGACGGTGGGTTAAGAAATCAGCCAGATAGCACCAAAAACGAAAAGTTGAAATTCCTTCTAGCTAAGAAATCAAGAGTAGTCAACGTGTTGGTGTCGTTCCTCATTTTGATGGGCGGCTCCAAGCCAACGAAAACTTTAAATTAAGAAATTTACATGTAAGAGGGCTTCGTTTCTTAATTCGCGTGATCTAAGCTAGAATAAGAAATGTACCGGGCTGCGTTTCTTAGTTCGGGTGTTCTATGGTGTTCTCAAGCCGAATAGCACCACTGTCTTGGCGGTGTCTGTTTAGCCTAATGGCAAAACGCCTGGCGTAGCACTTGGACTTCCAAGGGCCAAGAAATTGGCATTTCATCCAGCAGCTGCACTGGACTCAAACACTCAAACACAGAGCCAGAGGGTCGCAGGCGACTACTCCATGACTCCATCTTGGAGGGGCTCCTCCAAGCGAGCCAGAGTGCTGACGCTGCTCCGGTGCTCCTCGAAGCGCGTCTCCAATTGCTTGTGCTCAGCGATCCGCATCTCCAGCAGTTGCCGTTGCTCCTCGAACCTGGCCTCAAGCCAGCTCAGGTGCAGATCGCCAAAACGAGCATCTAGCGTGTTCTTGTGCTCTTCCAGGCGCGTCTCAAGATGCTTGATGCTAGGATTCAGATCCTCAAACCTGCTCTCCAGCATCCGGCTATGCTCTTCGAAGCGGGTCTCGAGCTCGCGGAAGCTCGCGGAAGCATCCTCTTCCAAACGTGTCTCCTCAAGGCTGCGGCTCTCTTGGTAGGATGCGAGCTTTGCGCGATCCACTTCCTCCAAATCCTGGCGGCTGAAACAGCCGAAGGCCTGCTGCAGTTCCCTTACATCTGCTGAAAGCTGCTCGAGATCGTTCTGAGGTGCTGAGACACCTCGGCTTTAGACGCAGATGCTCGTGAAGCTGACAGGCACATACTGGTGTTTGTTGCATGCCCGTCTGTGCCTTGTGCAGACGAGATGCAGGCTAGCTCGTCCGAGAGGTGCCAAACTGTGTCTCGCATGACGGCGACATCCCTGAGAAGGCCCTTCAGGAGAACGGCCTGACGTTGAAGCTCGGCCTCGACATCCAGACCTGTGCGGTGCCCGAAGAAATGGCTCCTGGATTCCTCAGAAAGCTCCAGACCACAAGTGGCGGTTGCACCGGCCCTGGCACCCCTGGGTGTGCTGCTCACGCTCCAATCCTGTGCCGCATCCAAGGTCCGCTCGGTTAGGGGCCGCTGGTTCGGTGTGTTTTCTGCTAGTGGCCGGAGGTCGCGCATAGCCTTCGCGCCCCGCTTCATGCGCTTTGAAAGCTGTGGCAGCTCAGGAGCATTTCCCGCAAAGTTCCAACGCCTCAGCCGCATCTGCGGCGAGCCGGGTGTATTGGGCAACATTTGGTCGACCCAGGAGCTACAAAGGCCCCCTAGCTGGGCCCCAAACCTTCGGCCCCTTAGCCCATTCAGCCCTCGGCCCTCGAGCACAGATCAAGCAGGCCATTTTGTGCTCTGGTCGGCAAAATCGGAACCAAGCAAGCTCGCGGGCAGAATCCTGTCAGTCTTTGTCAAGCCATCTCGAGCCGAAGCAGGTCCACGGCAGAGCCTGCCTTTGGCAGCACCGTGCCGGCCTAGCGGCCTAGGCTACACAAGCCTGGTGGCACCTTTGACCACCAACTGCACAAATCGCTTCACGGCACACAGCTGGCCGACACGTTCTCCGAGCAGGCCCTCACCTCCAGCGGGTCCCAGTTGCGAGGGCCTCGCTCGGCACTGGAACTGCGACAGCCCCAGCTTCGAAACTAGGCTTCAGGCCCCAAACAGTCCGGCACCTGGAGTAAAGTCTCTTCTCGGATCATGGTTTCCGAAGAACTCGCAAGGCTCGCCTAGCAGCATCTCTGCGCGTGGAGTCGGAGAAGCACACTAACGCCTCGAGATTCGCGAGAGCTTCCGCTTCAATGGGGTAAGGCGGGTAATCGGCTCTGGAAGGGCAGCCCACGGTGTCGCTCCGCACCACAGCCGCAGCAAAGTTCCACGAGATGCCATCGTTCACGACAGCCTCTGGGCCAGGCCACGCTGCCAGGTGTCCCCCCGTGCGCTACGACCGCTGCTGGCCTCACGTCCTGCTTGCAAAGTACCATCAGACCTGAGCAGGCCCTCACTTTGAACTGAGTTTGGTGTACCTCACTCAGGCAGTTCGCCTCTCGGGCGCATCCTAATCTCAGCGAGACTTGGCCTTCGTCCGGAAGTGTCTAGAGAGGTTTGAGCTTCAAGTCTGGTGAGTCTGGTCGTATCTCCGAGAAGGAGGCTGCGCATACCATTGCAAACAAAAACATCTTCGCGCAGCCTTGTTTGGGGCCCCGGCATGCCCACGACGTGGCACCTGCCCTGGCTCGGTCCAACCTCTTGCAAGCTTTGCACCCGCTAAAAAAAGCGAGAGAAGTCCGAGGCCGGCCTGCGTGCAGACCCCGCAGGTCTGAGGGCACCTGTGCGATCAGCACCGTGGGCGAAGCAGTTAGGGTCCCCCTCGCCCCTTTTGGGCTATGGCACCACCCACCCCCCACCCTAGTAATACAATATATGAAAAAATCCTATTCACACTCTCTACCCCAATACTCCTATCTACCTAAGTGCCATACCCCAAAAGGGGCAAGGGGTTCCTTGTAGAATTTGGTTCAGGGTTTAGGGTTAAGGGTTGTATCAAAGCTTAATCTTCTAGGATTTTCCATAATTGTTATAACTCTAATGTAATTATAATATATAACTGCTTATGCATTATAATTACATTATAACTATGCTGTTAATGGCTTCAAACGCTTATCTTTCTTTATTTATCCAAATTCCGTTTTCCTTCCATACCTGAAGTATTGTTTTGAATATTGACTTTCTCAAATCTATGTCGTCGGTAATTGTCTTAATTGCTTCTCTTAAAATACATATATTCACATACAGTGAATCCATACCGCTGTCTTCGTTAAACTTTTCTCCTACTGCCTTAATTTTTTTCAAAATTATTAATGTTTTCATACAGTTCAATAATTCCTTCTTCGTCTCTTAAAAAAATACTGTGCCAAAATAGTTCAAATTTACTCTGAATTGTTTTCTCAACAGGCATTTGAACTCGCCATAAATTATATGCTACTTTCCTCCAAAAAGTGTTTCCACTTCGTGGTAGTGGGTTTTCAGTTATTGATTGAATAATTTCTTGTGGTGTGGTTGTTCCTTCTAGTTGCCAATTCATCACACTAATACTATATTAGGGTTTGTTTCTTTAAGTCAATTTTCCTGAGATCATTATTTTCTTAGGATTTACTGGATCACGGTTTGTTTTGACAGACTTATCCACGCATTCAGAACAAGTCGCAATGCATTTATAACTCTAATGTGATTATAATATATAACTGCTTATGTATTATAATTACATTATAACTATGCTGTTTAATCCATTAAGTCAAACCCAGTTTGATTTATAAGAGTTCTAACAATTTTATTAAAGTCCCTAAAAATATGTCTGGATTAAAACCAAAAT